CTCCCCCTGGCCCCTCCCCACCCTGTCGCACCTTCGAGTGAGGGAGATAAAGCGAGGGCAGCAGGTGGGGTGTCAGAGTGATGAATGGGCCCGAGCTGTGTGGGGAAATTCGAGGAATTTGTCTTAACACGGTGCAGAGCAAGGAGAGACCGTGGGTCTCTAATCGGGTTTTCCCTTCCAGGCATTGCCAGGTCTGGGAGCCCCTGTGCGCGGCCTCCAGACCCGAACCGAAATAAATGACCTCCAGACCCAATTATTCTTCATTCAGCAGCCCTTCGCTGCGGCGCATGCTGGCGGGTTTGGTATCGGCATTCGGCCCTGAAGCTGTATCTCATCAGCTCACTTTACAGGGGCGGAACAGAAGGGCAGCTCAAAATCCGTAAGGGATCGGACGGCTTTGCGGCAGGCGGATTGGAAAGAGTGCATAGCCCTTTGATCCGTTTGGGGTTTTTGGAGCTCCAAGCCGTTGTGGAAAACTGCACAAACTGGCGATGTCCGATCACCGTTTTGCTCAAGCAGGCGACCAGGGTGCGCTCTCCAGAACCCGCCAGCCTCTTGCATATAAGAAGCTCCCGCTTACAGAGCCTGATGTGCCAAGCAGCTGGGCATTAGGAGTTTGCACTCCATGTCTGCACACTAGCAATGTGCATTGGTGATGTGATGTAATGTGAAGTAAAAATAAAACTGTAGCTGTATCTCACGTCCTGAACTTGGGCACCTCCTCCTCCTGCAGGACTGGCTCACGGAGAGCGCCAGGCTCATCGCCAAATCGGGCAGCTCCGTGGAGTGGGTGACGCCCCTGGGCCTGCCCATAGTGCAGCCGTATCATCGTACCAAGAACACCGTGGTGAGTAGGACTGCCCAGCCCTGCCGCGGCCTCTGCTCGTGAACACAGCAGACAGAAATGGAACGAGAATAAAAGTCCGCTCTGCTCTCACGGGTCTCACTGCTTGAAGTGACCCCGTCACCTTTGTGCCCCCTATTGCTAGCTGTTTGTCGGCTCCCTCTTGGAAGTTATATCCCCCGTGCATGGTTATATCCCCCGTTGTACCTTTCCTGTCGGGGTGTGTGAAAATGCAGACAAGCATTGAAACGTCTAACCAGCCGGTAGTTTTGTGAAAAAGAGGAGGCTAGTATCCGTCTGCTCGTGGTTTTTCCACGTGTGGTGGCCAGGAGCAGGCCTGCCCTCCTGCTGCATGCTGGGGGGCGTGGCAGGGACAGGGCAGCACGATGCCTGCACCTCCATTAGAAGCCTTTGTGGTTTTCGTCTGACCTTAATTAGAAACCTCGCGCTTCTCTATAAAGGTCAGGTCCTGCTGGAAGTGAATCAAGGGCCGTCCTTAACAGCAGATTTGCGATTATTTCTGAATCGTTTTGCATGCCATCAGGATTTAAACAAGGCCCTCTGTGCATTCCTTATTCTCAATTTGGCTTTGACATATTGTGGTGCTCTGTGTTGATCTGCATTTGCACAACCAGATGACAATTATGGGACTAAAGCAGTTAGATGTCTTGATCAGGGGAGAAAACGACATTTTCAAAATAGCTCGATCGACCTTAAAGAATTAGATTGAATGTGAAAAGGAATAGATACCCAGCATGTTTGTCTGTGTTTATATCTATGAAAAGCTGGGTGTCTGAATATTAACCTATAGCCCTCTTCAGTAATATTGACACTCCCCCTGGCGAAGAGCTTTCTTGAATGTGAAATGGAGACAAAGCAGGCAAAATGAATTAGCTGCCATTGTCTCCTCTCCACTTCTTCATTCTGGTCCGGTCCTGAGCCACAGAAGCGTCCCTCTCTGGCGCGATCTCTGCCTGCGAGTCTGTCATCAGCGCAGCAGCAGGGTCGAGAGCAGAGGAGCAGCTTGACGTGTCTCACTCATGGCGTCACTGCACAGCGGATCCGCGGAGAGCGCAAATGCTCCTGTTCTTGTTTATGATAGGTGCTGCAGGGTAACGGCTGTGCAAGCGGATATCCTGTGTCTTAAAACTACAGCCACCGTTGTTTTTAATGAGTGGCTGTCTGACAGCCGCGTTCTTGCAGAAGATGTTCAGGATGCTAGAGCAGGAGGTGGCTTATTGAGA